GGGGGAAGACCCCGCCTGGCGCAGGTGGGTCAGGCCATGTCCAAGGGCGTCTGGCCTCTCATCGCCCTGCCAAACCATAGCAAGCCCCAGGCCTCAGGACCAGAGGCCCTGAGGTCTGGCTGCCGAGGCCTTTCTGACCTCACCCCGTCCCCGCCCCCTTTGACACGTAGCCGATTCCCAGGGGAGGTGATACCACGGCTGAGGATGGGCCACCGCAACACCATGGGTCTTGATTCCATCACCACAAAGCCAGGCTCAGATCAGACCCGACGATCCTGAAGGGCCAGGATCTTGTCCCTGTGGCATGACAGGGGCTCTGAGTCACGCCAAGGCCTGGCCTGCACCCTCTGCGTGGCAGCCCACACCTGGCGGTGGCTGGACCGGAAGTTCCTGGAGGCCTGAGCTACCGACCTCACAGGGCGCGGGCACTGGGTGAGTCCCCCAAGGACCACCACCTGCCTCCTGACACCCCGGGGTCCAGGGCGCACTGCGTCCTGACACCAGCTCCCCACATGTGCGTGTCCGTGCTTTGTATGTGCGTGTCACAAATAGTATTCGAAGCTCTGAAATCCACAGGGCACAGCCAAGGATAACCTGAACCACCAAAACTAGTTTATGGCCCAGTGTTCTGAACTCCCTTCACAGTCCACACCATTTTAAAATAAATATTTGCAAACACATACTAAGCATAATGGAATATAAGACACACTTTCTTGTCAAATTTTATGTTTTCAGGAAAATAAGATATAAAAATTAAATTAAAAACATACAAAATCCTCTTTGTGAGATGATTTTGGGGAGTTCACTTACTTCCAAGGAAAAGATATACAATACATCTACAATTATTTCAACCCCAAACTTTCCATCTTGAAAAGGGTGGTTAACAGCATTTGAGGAACAGAAAAATGGGGAAGAATACACTTGGTCTTAGTGAAACATTCAGCCCAACCATTGGTAAAGACAGTTGAATTTCAAGGTCTCGCATTCTGATGGCTGAAGCACAGTTCTGCTCAAAGCCGGGAAGCGCAAAGCGTTTTCTGATTCTGCTGCCTTTGCTGAAATTACTACAGTGCACAGCTCGCTAATATGGCCACAGCTAAGTTACAGAGTGGAATAAGTCTATCTGAATGACATTTAACCTATTTAAGGCAAAATAAATAGAATTAAGGAAGGCCTGCTGCCATGAACCCCTTACGAAGGAAAACATTAACTATGTCTTTATAGCAAACAATGCCTAAAGCTTCTTCAAAGCAAATACTGATCACATACGTCCATGCACTTTCCACACCTTCCCTGTCCTGACAGAATCGGCCGACACCACCTTCACTTCCCTCTGAGGCGACAGCTCCCGTGGGGAACTGTGATCACCCCGAGTGGCCTGCACAGCAGCTGCACCAAGGCTGCCGGCAGTGCCTCCGAGGACGGCTCTCTCCGCCCGAGAAGGTAAGGGTGAGAGAAGCAGGTCCGTAGCAGCAGGTGGGACCCAGAAACCCCACAGGGAGGCGAGCCAGGACCCTAAAGAACGTACCATAGGGAAGTGTCAAGCCCACAATCTTTAAAAAGAAAAATATTTTCAATTACGGAAAAGCTCTGATGAACGTAAAGATGGATACACCGTGCCACATTCCTGTAACAGACACGGGAAGCCGTCCCCGTCTTCCCGTCCTCTGGATCCTCCACACTCTGTCACCTACAACACCCAGCTCCTCACTGAGGTTCACCTGCAGGGGAACTCAACCGTCCAGAGGTGGCGTCCTCTTCCCGCGGGCGCCTCACGTCCGCCGGGTCCCCGCTCTCCTTGCTGCCAGGGGTGCCGGCCCCGTGGTGTTCCTCCGGGCCCCCATCTCCTCTCTGAGCATCCTCAGGGGGGCCGCGCCCCGGAGTGGCCTCAGCAGCAGGCATGTTCCTTGGGACAGGTGCGTGGGACCCCCCACTTGCAGGTGCATGAAGCCCTGGGCTGGCCTGGGCAGTGGCACTGGTAGCGGGGACCAAGCTGGGGTCCTTGCCCAGGCAGGAGAAGTCGGACATGCCCAGGATGCTGGCTCGCTCCCGCCGGGAGAGCCCGGCTCTGCAAGGGGGGTGGGCAGGGCCGGGAGGTGACTGCAGCCCTGGAGGGAGAGTCCCCAGGCTCCTCTCCCGGAGGTTGTCTGGTGAGAAGTAATCCTCATAGGAGGACGTGCCCCCAGGAGGAGTCCCCAAGGCAGGGCTGGCCGGGGCCTGGACCCTGGGGGAGGGGAACAGCCGCACAGCAGACTTCCGGCCGCACTTGGGCTTCTTTGGCCCCCCCTCGGGGGGCGCGTGGGTGTGCTCCAATGGGCGCTTTCTCTTCGCGGAGGAGCTCCTGGCTGTGGGTCCCAGATGGTGGCCTTTAGTTCCCGGAGGCTGCTGGTCAGGGGTGGCCGCCACGCCGGCAGGGTTCGTCTGCCAACCCGCGTCCTCCTCCGCATGATGGCGCTCAGGCATCTGAGGTGCTAGCCGGCCGAGGTACCTGGGAGACGCGGGTGAGCGAACGCTGCTCCTTTCCAATGCCGGTGACGAAGCACACAGGGGGCTTCCAGTGTCGTCAGCGGGTCCTCCCAATTTCCTCTCCGGATCCCCATGCCCCGAGGCTCCACAAGGATCGTCAAAAGATGACTGCAGGCCGCCAGCCCAGGAGTCCTCTGGAAAACAGGGAGCCAGTGCACTTTAAAGAAGGTTTCGATCCCCACGGGGCACAGGAGTCCCCTCAGTGACACCTTCCCAGCACTGTCCTCAGGTCAGGGGGACCCCAGCCTGTCGGTGATGCCGGGAGGTGTGTCGTGACCCATGTGATCACACGCCCCGGCACCCACTGCACAGGCTGCGGAACCCTTTCTGCAGCTCCTACCCTGCTCTGTACTGGACGCTTGAATTGCAAGTTAGCTCACGTGAGATTGTAACTGTTTTTTTTTTTTTTTTTTTAATGAGCAACTGATTCTGTACCCAGAAAGAAAATGCCCAAGAGAAAAACCACAGGAACCACAAACGAGTCATGTGCTTATTACAATGAACTACTTTTTACTATAATTCCTAATTTCAGGGTAAATTCAGGAATTCTAGTTTTAAGTAACTAGTCTTCTCATCAAATAAAATTCCAAATAAGAGAAAACATAATATTCTTAAAGCTAAAATATCACAGAAATGATCTACCTGAACACAAAGTGTCATGTGAGATATTCAAAGAAGCTTCACAGGAGGCGTGAGCTGGGTTATCGAAAGACTTTTCCATCATCTGGGAAGCTGGAAGCATAATCAAAACATTAGATACAATTTTGTTATTTTTTCAGATGCAGCCAGCAGAAAGCCCACATTCTGCTCTTAACCCTGGAGAATACTAACTGCACACCCAATATACGCCTAAAATAAAGGTGTTCCAAAAAATGTATGCACACTTTAAATAATTATTAATTCCAATGGGTTAAATCTGAAAAGAAACATCAATCGAGCTACTAAACACTGTCTGTGTATATATTTTGGGGGGACACCTTATATTAATGAAGCATAAGGAATTTCTGGAAGAAAATTTAAAGTCTACCCGGAGACAGACTAAAATCTGTTGGAATCGGGGAACTTTAACTCAAACACTTCCCACCACAACTGACCCAGCACAGCGCTCATCTGACCACTGAGGCTTACAGGTCGGGGAGAGGTTTGCCCGCTTCTCCTTCATCTCCTGCAGCCTCTGCTCCATGGCGCGGTGACGCCCTCTGTACGCGGTCGCTGTGGGGCTGTACATCAAGGCACCATTGGACTCAAACAAGAGGACAGGGACATCGTTATCTGAAACAAAGACAAGCCATAGCTACAGAAATGCTTATTTGTACCCATGATGTACAGGGTTGGTCTGAAACACTGAATTCAGAGGCCAGGTGACACAGGCAGAGAGAAAACCCAAACACATAGATTACTTCAGAGCTTCACAACATTAAAGTATTTGTCCAAGTCATTAGAAGGATATATCTAGTGAATAAATGGGCAGAGGTACCCGGCCAGCGTGGCTCAGTGGCTGAGCGTCGACCTATGAACCAGGCATGGCTGGATTCCTCGTCAGGCACATGCGGGAGTTGTGGGCTAGGTCCCCCGTGTGAGGTGTGCAGGAAGCAGCTGATCAATGATTCTCTCTCGTTATTGACATTCCTCTTCCTCTCCCTTCCTCTCTGAAATCAATAAAAATATATTTTTAAAAAATTTAAAAACAGAACTGCCCTATGTCCCAGCAATGTCACCTCCAAGGAGGTAACCAAAGAAAATGGAAGATATCTGCACCCATGTAAACGCAGTGTTGTTGATAACAGTAAAGATATAGAAATAATCCAAATGTCCACCAATGAATGAATGTGGTACATATATATACAATGGAGCATTACTCAGCATAAAACAGAACGGAATCTGGACATTTGGGACGACACGGTTTGGACCTGGAGAGCATTATGCTGAATGAAATAAGTCAGACAAAGTAAGACAGATTCTGTATGAAATCACTAAGATGCGGAATCTTGAAAAAACAAAACAACAAACCCCTGAACTCACTGATACAGAGGACAGACTGGTGGCAGCAGGCGGAGGGGCCGCAATATGTGAAACTTGCTAAGAGAGCGCCTGGTGATGGATGTTCACAGGTGGAACTGATACCAATCCGTCAGGCTGTTCACCTGAAACTAACATCCTGTTCGATGCCAATTACGGCTCAATAAGCAGAAACTGTTCTGGGACCGATTAGCTCAGCTACATGGCCCTGCAATGGCCACTATCAAGTCACAGGCGACTTTATTCTGTTTTCTCTTCCTGGGCTGGAGCCGCTGCAGGCCCCCTCGCGAGGCCGTCCCGCATGCCACTGGCTACCTCGGTGTGCAAGCACAAACACAAAGGAGGGTGCCGTATTTCTTCTTACCTAATGTTGTTTTTTGCTTTTGTAGCTCATTAGCCATTTTCTCAAATTTCTTTTGAAGTCTCTTATCATTTTCTGGTGTTTTAGGAGTAAAATCTTTGGGCTGCATACACCTATGCTGTGCAAAAAAGAACACAGACGTCAACTCTCAGTGCTGCCTCTGTGCAGGCCAGGAACGGGACCATTCCGGGCATCTCTGGTCACAGCAATAACGAAACCCTAAGGAGGCATTTGTTGTACTACATGTGAGTCTGTACGATTGGGAAAACATATAAGGGCCCTGGCCGGGTGGGTCAGTTGGTTTGAGCGTCAGCCCGCGCACCGAAGGGCCTCAGGCTCAGTTCCGGTCAGCCACACACCCAGGTGTGGGCTGAGGCAATCCACACGGAGTCTCTCACATCAGTGTCTGTGGTCCTCCCACTCCCTTACTCTCTAAGAAACCAATAAATACGTCCTCAGGGGAGGATTTAAAAAACACGACGATACATCACTAGGGCTGGCTGGACCAGCAGCTCTGCTTCTGAGGCACTTTCAGTACCCCAGCATTCTTCGTTTCCATGAAGGTAGTGTCTTCCTTCTTATTTTTGCTATTTTCATGGTCTTTTCCTGCCCCACAAACATTATGACGTAGTAGTAAAACACAAAAGCAATCATTTTTTAACTGCCAGAGGAAATAAACCTAACTTAATCTTATCTCTAAATCACAGTAACCCCACTGAGCCAGTAAAAAGCAAGAAGTGTAACTACACATACACAAGGTGACAGTCATGAGCCTCGGCCTACGAAGCCCTCGGGAAGCGGGTCCCCATTGGCACAGCTTTCCTGTGAGAACACCCGCGATCTCCCGGCTCTGCATTCCAGCCGCACTGAACGAGGGCACCTGACTCGACCCAGCTCCTCTGCCGTAGCCACAGGGCGCCGAGCTGGGCGCGGGTCCCCTGACTTGGTTTCCTCTTGGCCGACAGCAGTCCCGTTTCTTACAGGTCCCCTCAAAGCGCCCAGAGGGCAAAACCGCCTCTAACCCACTAAGGACGCTGTGACAATGCAGCATCAACAGTGACACTGAAGGCAGCGCCGGACTCCGCTGCTAAAAGCTTCTTTTCCAGGAATAAAGTAAAAGAACGAATAAATGAGTAACTGCCTACACTGGGTCAGACACTTACTTTTTTTTTAATGAGGCAGGGCAGGTGTTCGTGGGTGTTCGCCGCAGGGAACAGGGCCTCGTCGACGTGCGCCCCGGCCGTCCTGCACCTGCGTGAGGAGACAAGTCCTTGGTGAGCATCTGTCTGCTAAACGCGTAGTGTGAAACCTGCACATGCCCGTGTATGGAGGATACCCACACACGGGCCACCTAACAGACACGTATACTAAATAAGTACCCACGTGGCCAAGTACAAGAGCCGATGCCTTCTCACTTCCCAACGTCTCCTCCACCTGGTGTTGCTGAGGCCGAGAGCCAAAGCTAGAGGCACGCCCAGGAAGCACCCTTCTTCTGCAGGAACTGCAGATTGTAACCCACTTCAGAATGACCAGTGCACGGTGCTCAAAAAGGTGTGCGCACGTGCCACGAGACGCATAATGAAAACAGAATGAAAAGGAGTGATTCAGGGCTGAGGACCCCAAAGAAGTTGAGGGCGGAAAGCTTATCTTCCCTCCAAAGCCAGTTCTGTGTTTCTCTCCAGACCTGTCCCCCGAGCTGGGCTGCGGAAGGGGAGGCACCGGCGAGCAGCGGGCGGCAGAACTGCTTTCCAAACCAGACAGTAGACGAGGGGAGTGGCAGGACCCCCCCCTCTGCAAATGGCACCAGAGCTGGGTCCTCACACCGAGTCCCCACCCCACAGGCTGTGGCTCCCAGGGCCTGGCCGGCACCTGCCCTCCATCCAGCAAACATGCTGATAAGCATCATGAAGATGCACCTGGCTGATCCCGACTCTGACGACTAGCCGAGGGTCCTGTGGATGCCAGGCCTGCCTCCTGGCTGAGACCGGGAGCGTCTGTGACTGGTTAACAGTGAGGAGGAGATGGTGCGTCGCCAAACGTGTGCTGCTAGCAGGACGGTCCAGCTGGCAGGTGGTTTAGAAGCCCTGATCCTTTTCACACCCCGCTTTTCTCCGCAGGAACAGGCCCGACAAACTTCAGGTTGAAGAACAATCTTGAACCCGAGATCTGAGTTGTCTGTTCTTATAAAGGAAACTCCCAGAAATAACCCCACGAGAGGGATTCTAGCGACACCTAGTGACCTTTCCTATGTACTGTTCACGTTTTCAGTGGAAAACAGGAGCCATGGCCTGGACAGCCCCTAACAAAGCAGACACAGAACCTAAAATAAAGGTCTAAGTTCTGGTGAAGGAAGTTTAAGTGCACTGAAAAATAAGGGAACAGCATGACATCGACTTTACGTTCTCACCTACAGAGGGGGAAGGCGAGAGGGCGCGGTGTGAGGGAGGCTGTGGGGCCGGTGCCTCACTGCGGGGAAAGCACGGAACTGGCACTTTCCCAGGAGGTAATCTGACAGCATCCACCACAAACGCAGCATGCAAGCCCTCAAAACCCAGACGCCCACCTCTGGAAGGGAACCCACGGAAAGACGTGTCATGCAGGCAGAGCCTCCCCCCCTTCCCCCCCCCCCGTGGTCACTGCACAGAGGATGAGCCAGGGGAGTTCAGATGGTTCAGTGGAAGCACAGCCATAAAACAGGACAGGCACGGTGGATGACTTTACATGGGAACAGAAAGACCACAGTCCACCATTACAGACACGTGGGTGAAAGGACAGAACAGAGTGGGTTTTAACAGCACAAGGGAACAGAGTGCCCAAGGGGCCCTGCTACAGACTGGGGGACAGAGAGCACTCTGGGCCGGGAGCCCTTCCCCTGCGACAGGGGGAGGAGCCGCGCACCAAACGGGAGAACCGGGCGAGGAGGCAGCATAAAGGGATCCAGAGTCCATAACACGCACAGTGTCCAAAACTCAGCCCAAAGAGACGTCATGAGGAGCCAAGAAGAAACCCACCGATAGATGCCAACTCCATGTGCTGGGATACCAAAGGCGCAGTTACTGAACAACAAGGACTCTGCACGGAAACGCTCCTGCAGTGAGACAGGGAAGCTGAGACACAAACACACACGTGAGAAAGAACCGAGGGCCCGGCGGCAGCTCAGTGGGTCAGAGTCGTCCTACACCCAAGGTGGTGGGTGTGGTCCCAGTCGGGGCACCTTCAAAATCAACCAAGGAGTTTGTGTGAATACGGGGAACAGCAAATCGCTGTTTCGCCCTTCCTCTCTCTCTCTCTCTCTCTCTCTCTCTCTCTCTCTCTCTCTCCCTCTCTCTCTCGTCAGTAAAAACAAAAATAAAAATAAGACAAATGGAAATGTTACAGCTAATATTGCCCAAAATAATGTACTAAGTGGACATAATGACAAAACAGAGTTGACAAAGAAGAGTCAGTGAACTTGAAGATTGATTTGGCGAGGAAATAAAAACTGAAAAATAATGAACAAAGCCAGGCCTCAGGACAGTGGGAAGATGTCAAAGGTCAAAGGCTGCTGACACAGGAGGGACTGACACGGAGGCCCAGGCCATCCCGGCCCCATCACACCCACCTCTGCTGCTTCTCCAGGGCTCCCTGCGCCCGCAGAGCGGAGCAGCTCCAGAGAGACCCCATGGCTCTGTCCCTTTACAGAAAAGCCGGATCCCCGCTGTGCAGCGATCCGAGTTCTAGGCAGAGAGGGTCAAGGGGCGGAATAGCCACTTGAAAAAACGGCCAAAACCTAGTAGCTCATACGTTCAAGCACCTCCGCGAAATCCACACAAGACAAGGAGGAAAGCACATTAGGGAAATGTCCGAAAATCAACGTTAAGAAGAAAAACTGAGAGAAGGCAGAGGAAAAGGGCACGTGACTTCCAGCTGAGAAAGGAGGGGCATGACCAGGCCTCCTGAGCCCCGCGGACAGCAGGCTGTGGGGCACCTGGACCTGCTGAAGACAAGCCACTGTCCCCCGGAAATGCATGTCCATGGAGACGGCACCACAGACGAACCGGAATAAGGGCATCTTCAGACAAGGAAAACGAAGGACGTGTGTTGTCATCTCAATAAAGAGACGCTGCACTGACAGCACTGAAGTGAGAAATAAGCCATTAACAATGCCGTTTGGAGACGTCAATGTGCCATTTAATGGTGGACAGATCAAGAGGAGGACACACAACTTAAAAGAAGTTTGAATCAACTACTATTGACCTGTCAGAAAGGCACACAGAGAACATCCTTCCACAGCCACAGAACACAGCCTCCCGGTGCTCAAGCAGTACCCTCCTAGGGAGACCAGTGTGAGGGCGCAGAACACGTCTCGATTACCTGAAGGAGACTGAAAAAATACAAAACATGTCCTTCGGCCACAACAGAACAAAGTGAGGAATCAAAAATAGAATGAAGTTTGGAAAACTCAAAATATGTGGAAATTAAACAAGAACCTCCTAAATAGCCAAGGGGTAAAATAAACTGCAAAAAACAAATTAGAAAACACTTTGAAGTAAATGACAACCCCTCAACCCAGCTAAGACCTACTGCCTGCTAATCAGACCTCCCCCACCACCCCTCCCTTCGGGGCAAGCCTGGCGTTGGCCGGTCCTTCATTATCACGGCTTTGCACTCCCCTCCACTCCCTCGGTGGAGGCTGCTGGCAAAGCCCAGCCCTGATTAACCCACTCTGCCCGCCTCCTTCCAGCTGTGGGCTGCTGGGTAAAGAGCGTGCCTGCTCCACCGGCCTCACGTTCAACTTACAACCACCATCCTCACGTGAGCTGTCCCTCCTTCACTGCCGCTGGTGAGCGCCTGCCTCCAGCCTGGCTCACTCAGTGCCTCCACCCCTCTCCCTGCTCCTACCCCGGACCTGGTCCCACACCTTCTCCTCCCTCACATCCCACAAGAACTGCATCATGGGATGCCCGTGACCTCTCCCACCTCAATCTCCTCCCATGCTTCCCCTCAACACTCCCATCAAGGGCTCCACTGGGCCCCAGAAAATTTTTAAACCCTAACCCCCAGAACCTCAGAACATGACTGTATTTGGAGAGGCGCCGTCAAAGACCTAGTTAAGGTTAAATGAGGTCATATGAGTGGGCCCTAATCCAATGGGACTAACCTATATATATACTAGAGGCCCAGTGCATGAAATTCGTACACAGTAGGGTCCCTAGGCCTGGCTGGCGATCAGGGCCTATCTGTGGGGTGACTAGCGGGGTGATCAGGCCACTCCCACCGCCCCCCGCTGCTCACACCTGCCTTGGCTGGCCTGGCGCCGCCTGCTCGCTGCCGCTGGTCAGGGCCTGCAGGCTGGGGACACTCCGGACGCCTCGGGGGATGTCAGAAAGCCAGTTTGGCCCCATCCCCACAGGCCAGGCCCAGGGACACCACCTGGCAGAGGGACCCTGCTCACTCCGCAGACGCTGGGTGGGACTGTGGAGGTTGGCTTCAGGGAGTGTCCAGCCCTTCTCGCCCAGTACCGCCCCACCAGCCACCTTCTAGTTAATTTCCTTTCCACGTGCAGGAATCTGCGCACCGGGCCCCTAGTGTCTCTGTAAGAAGAGATTAGGACACAGACACTCAGGCACAGCCATTTGCAGACCAAGCAGAGAGAGAGGCCTCGGAAGAAACCTGCCTGGCCAGTACCTGACCCTGAACTCCAGCCCCCAGAACAGTGAGAATTACATCTGTTGTTCCAGTTCGGGGACACAGCTATGACCACCCAGGCAGCTGATACAATCACTTCATGGCATTTGCTCCCTTATTGTTTCCTGAGCACTCCAACCACAAGCTTCGGGCTGTGTGCTCATTCCCCTCCAGGCGGGAGGTGGAGGTGGGGTGGGGGGGGGAGGCTATGCTATAACCACCCTCCAACTTGGAAACTGAGGCTTGAGGGTGTCAAATGACTTGTCCAGTGAGAAGCAGAGAAAAGACGGCCAGCAAACACCACCCGGTTCTGTGATCCATGGAAAATACACTGCTCTGCTTTACTAACACTAGATACTCAGGAAAGAAAGGACTCACTTTTCGACCCAGAGCACAGAGACGAGCTTGATGCCTCTCTCTCGGGCTTTGTCCCAGGTGCGTGGGTATCCGTCTTTGAACACAACGTGAGTTACGTGCTTGTTAAAAGTTTTTGAGACCTGTGGATAAAGTGCAGGAAAAAGAATTACATTATTATTATTTGCACACAATTTCATAAAGTATAAGCCAGTGCCATTCATGGAGACAGTTGCAAAATAAGCAACAAAACAGCAAACTGTATCAACCTATAAAAAGGATAATACTGGGTGGGCAAAAGTCGGTTTACTGTTATTCACATGAAAAAGAGTACAGGAATCTATAATAATAAAAGCATAATATGCTAAGTCGGCCTGACAGCTGAACGACCTTCCAGACGTCCTTCTGGACAACCTTCTGGAGGAAGCCGGGGCTGCAAGGGCCAAGCCCCTTGCACGAATTTCATGCATCAGGCCTCTAGTTAACAAATAACAATGCGAGAATAAACTGTTTTGCGTACCCACAACTGCAAACCTACTTTTGTCCCTGAACATCCCCACCACTTGAATGTATTCCAGGACTGCAATACATTGGTTAACATGAAAAAAAAAAATCAATAATGATTATCCACTATATTAACAAAATAAAAGGTCGTTATGATCATCTCAATAGATGCATACAACACACCTGACAAAATTCAAAAGTTTATTCCGAAGGACAATTCTTAGTAAATGAGGATCTCAATGCTGGTACAAAATGCAGTGACTAGCCTTAACTACCTCAAGTTCCAGCTTGGTACACCTAAAATCTGCCAGATATGCCCCTGTCCCAACCTTTCCCTAAACACCTGTTCCCTTCCCTGCATACCCCGCTTGACCAACAGCATCACGCCGCCAAGTGACCAACGGCAGGATCCGTGTTCTCACCCTAGAGTCCTCCCTCACAAGCACAAGACCAACCATTGCATAAATTCTGCTGCGCCAAATTCTTACTGTGGTTCTTTTTTCTCCTGTCACTTTCCCACTGTCTTCTTTTCCCTTCATATTCTAATAACTCCCCAAATTATGTACCAGAGGTCTAATATATGGAGCAATGGTGAGGTGAATTTGTTACATGTAGCGATAGTGACATGAATCTGTTACTCACATGTACGATGGTGACATGAATCTGTTACTCACGTGTACGATGGTGAGATGAATTCGTTACTCACATGTACGATGGTGAGATGAATCTGTTACTCACATGTACAATGGTGACATGAATCTGTTACTCACGCGTACACTGGTGAGATGAATTCGTTACTCACATGTACGATGGTGAGATGAATCTGTTACTCACATGTAGCAATGGTGACATGAATCTGTTACTCACGCGTACACTGGTGAGATGAATTCGTTACTCACATGTACGATGGTGAGATGAATCTGTTACTCACATGTAGCAATGGTGACATGAATCTGTTACTCACGCGTACACTGGTGAGATGAATTCGTTACTCACATGTACGATGGTGAGATGAATCTGTTACTCACATGTAGCAATGGTGACATGAATCTGTTACTCACGCGTACACTGGTGAGATGAATTCGTTACTCACATGTACGATGGTGAGATGAATCTGTTACTCACATGTAGCAATGGTGACATGAATCTGTTACTCACGCGTACACTGGTGAGATGAATTCGTTACTCACATGTACGATGGTGAGATGAATCTGTTACTCACATGTAGCAATGGTGACATGAATCTGTTACTCACGCGTACACTGGTGAGATGAATTCGTTACTCACATGTACGATGGTGAGATGAATCTGTTACTCACATGTAGCAATGGTGACATGAATCTGTTACTCACGTGTACAATGGTGAGATGAATTCGTTACTCACATGTACGATGGTGAGATGAATCTGTTACTCACATGTAGCAATGGTGACATGAATCTGTTACTCACGCGTACAATGGTGAGATGAATTCGTTACTCACATGTACGATGGTGAGATGAATCTGTTACTCACATGTAGCAATGGTGACATGAATTTGTTACTCACGTGTACAATGGTGAGATGAATTTCTTACCTTTGCCCCCATCTCCACAAGTTGGTTTGTAAATGTCTTTGAATAATTTTCTGTTCCATTGGCTGACCACACTTCCACATAAGCCACTACATCTGAAAAAAAACAAGGTGTCAGCATGAAATATACTGAAATCCCATCATCCCGTGCCTGAGTATTTCGATACATTTCTCTCTTGTTATATTTACACCAAAAACTTCTTTTTTTATTTCTTCAATGACAAGCCTATTCAAAATAGCATCCGTGCTATTATGGTTCTTAACATTTCAAGCAAAGAACGTCAGTCATGCACATGGCCGTGGGCAGTTTACACGAACCCTCCATGCGCTCCCCAAGTGCCCAAACCAGACTCTACTCCTCCGGGCGCGAGTCTGTTCTGAAAAGGACGGGACAGAAAACAGTTCAGACTCGGGCCAAGGAGATGTCCTGGCTGCAAAGCAAACGCAGCCAGACAAAGCTGAGGAGGGGGCAGAGCTGTCTTCCCATGAAACGTCACAGGCGGTGAGGGGAGAATCGGAGGGCATGTTCCTGTCTCCCTCCTTCTCCTGTGCTCCCCCCCCAGCCCCCCATTTAGGGCAGCAAGTCACAGCCTCAGCTGACAGCCTGGGGGCAGGAGCAGCGCGGGGTCGGGAGCTGGGGGGCGGGGGGGGGAGCGGGGTGCGGACCCCGCGGCTTTTCCTCCAACCCAGGGCCAGAAAGGGGGCCCAGGTGCGCGGGCGGAGCGAAGGGAAGTGGCGGAAGCGCGCACATCCCTCAGCACGAACAGCCACGCGGGGCAGGGCCGGTCAGGGCGGCCTGGGTCTCCCCCTGACTCAGGGCAGGACCCCGCCCAGCG